GAATTGTTCACTAAATGTAACGAATTTTCGAATAGCCCCTCTTAACAATCAAATTGCCCCCCTGTGGGGCGTGGGCCCCACGTCGGGAAACACTGGCTTTTAGATTGTAAACTCCAGCTTAGCTTGCAACAATTAACTGCTCTAACATGTGATGAGAAGCAGTATGTTATGGTTTCAGGAGATTTAAAACAGTTTATTGCCAGTTCTTCTCGGAGTCCTACGCTCTTGATTTGAGAACTAAAGTACATAAGTGTGATTAAGTTATCTTTATGAAAAAAAAATCATTTCGTATTTCATTTTTGATTTAGATTAGATCATAGATATTAATATTATGTATCTATGACGTTATTTGTGGTGGATGTCCTACAAATAACTATTAGTTCTTGTATTAATACGAAGTCGCAATGATCAATTTCTTAAAAAAATTGCTTTAAATTATGTTTTTAATTTTCAGTGTTCTTGACCTTATTTCTAAGAATGAAGTATCGTTGGCATAAAATGTAGACCAACCCATTCTGATACGTGCTTCGTCAGCTATGTCGCGAAGTATATTTTTTATTTTACAAGCAAAATTTATCGATATTAAGTTTCTTATAGTGAATTTTCACTAAGTCAGTCAGTTTTAATTAATTAAAGCACACGATAGAAACTTAACCTTTCCTTCTTTTGAAGGAATGAAAAGGCCAATTGATATCCCAAAAAACAATAGGTTGTGGACAGAGATAGTACATATAATTTCTATTTATTCAAGTAGGTGATCTGTACCTAACACATCTCTTCAATTATTTGATGTGAATCATGACAGACAAGCACAATTCCTCACGTCTGGCTTTCAGACAAAATTTAAAAAAAAACATGCTCAACTGTAGACACGAGCTCAGGGTTGGGAGACGCTTTGGGAGAGCAAACAATGACCTTATTTCTAAGAATGAAGTATCGTTGGCATAAAATGTAGACCAACCCATTCTAATACGTGCTTCGTCAGCTATGTCGCGAAGTATATTTTTTATTTTACAAGCAAAATTTATCGATATTAAGTTTCTTATAGTGAATTTTCACTAAGTCAGTCAGTTTTAATTAATTAAAGCACACGATAGAAACTTAACCTTTCCTTCTTTTGAAGGAATGAAAAGGCCAATTGATATCCCAAAAAACAATAGGTTGTGGACAGAGATAGTACATATAATTTCTATTTATTCAAGTAGGTGACCTGTACCTAACACATCTCTTCAATTATTTGATGTGAGACATGACAGACAAGCACAATTCCTCACGTCTGGCTTTCAGACAAAATTTAAAAAAAAAACATGCTCAACTGTAGACACGAGCTCAGGGTTGGGAGACGCTTTGGGAGAGCAAACAATGCTTTCTATATAGATTGTCCCAAACTTTCCATCAACCATAAATATAAATTGTTTTATTATTACATATAGGTAACTTTGAATTAATGGACTATTATGGTATTATATATATATAGATGGGGCAACAATCCGTTGGCTTTCAATAAAAAGTTATTTTTTATTTATTTATAAAAAAATACTCCTGCCCTAACAGGCGATTGACAAGAGTGAACAATAAGTGAATAAAATTTACAGACGAAACAAAAAAAAGCAAATATACAAAATTTATTAGGAAAATCAAAATTACAATTATTTATAAAAAAAAACAAGAAATTAACTAACTACTATAGGCACTAACAAATAATAGAACTTTTGCCAGTTCACTCAACGGACAATGAAAAAGGTCCGTTAACCTATGTAATTCGTTAACTAAATAAATACACCGATTCTTATGTGCCCTTTTCAGAAGGTTAGTCCTAGCTGTTGGCACATGAAGTAACGGCGGACGATGTCGCTTTCTGACGTACCCATCAGGTACATTGAAGGTACTGTAGTACTGCCGATACTGATTAGGTAACTTAATTTAGTTTTATCGAAATCTGATGCCTTTGTTATGTCATTAAGATTAGTCTTCACGGACAAATATTAATATAATATATGGTTACGAAAGTGACTAAGTAGAAGCGAAGTACTTAGTATACAAAATATTGCAATTTCATTTGCATTCGGCACACGGTATTGCTTCCTTGAATAACGGAAAGATAAATAATAAATATTTAACAAAGGTATTTGAATCTTAATTCTTAGACGTGGCGTGAAAGCCCCGCCCCGCCCCTGCTGAACAAGACTGGTAGCTCAAATTTGTTTTTAAAACGTCAAAACGATACTTTGTGATACAGCAACCCTGACCCCTGTCCAGACCCTAGCAAGCCGCGGACTTGACGTCTTTGACCAGGGTATCCGTGTTTAAAATGATTCTACAGGAACCATTTTAAACACGGGCTGATCCCTCAAGTATTATAAGACCCAAGTAGTTATTATGCTACCGAAGTAATTTCGTGGGCGGTGGAGAATTAATCTTATTAATTAAAAAATTGCTATTTTATAGAACAGGGCCTGAGAGAAAATGACTGCAACAGGCAATTCGAGTTTGTACGTGGTAGCGTCAGTTCGTCAGGCCCGTATAAATTCGTTAGGCGTTAGTGGGTCCCATCTGCCAATTGTTTAGTTTCAAGCTACGGGCATTAAAACCTTCGTGAAACTAAATCGTTAAGCTTGTCCAGAAGTAAACTAGTCCTTTTGTGAGCGTCAGAATGGACAGTCACTAGTCGTGTAGAACTTGCTTTTATTTAATTCCTATTATAAGACATTTGCTTCCTTAGTATCTTGGGAGAACCATAACAATTAAAGTGACCGTCCATTCTGACGTCAGAATGGCTGTTCACCTATCCTATTGTACTCACTATAAGGGCCGATTTACATTATCTTAGTGTTTAGGAGAGTATTTTAGTACAACTTGAAAGGCAAGTTCTTAAGTGCTTTAAGGCTTATTTACACGTATTAAGTTGCCAAGTCTTAACTAAATTTTAACTAAATTTCAAGTGACTTAATTTTAAGTAACCGTTTACACGTAAAAATACTAAATAATTAGTTAAACACATTTATTCGCTCAAGATGGACGACCACAGAACAAAATATTATAGGATTTTCTCTTCCTGATTGGGGATTTACTGTATTGTATGCTCCAATACATGATTGTGAAGGTTCTGGGGACTCAACGTAATACGTATTTGAAGAAGGCGAAGGAGTAAAACGGCTACTATTATTCATTGGGGAAGGGGTTCTACTACTGTTCATTAATTGTTGTATACGCATATCGGACAAATAGTTTTGGATATGTTTTTGAGCTTCCAGCGCCGAAAGCAAAAGCATAGCTTTGCAATGACTCCGCCAGCTTATGCTTTTACTTAAATTTAACTAAATTTTGCCTGTCCAAACGTGTCAAGTGATTAGCCACGCCCACCAACTTAACCGAAAAATAGACAAAATTCTATTCTACCTTGTTTAGTTGCAACTAAATTTTAACTTGCAACTTCTTACTAAATTAACTGTTTACACGGGTTAAGTTACTTAAAATTAAGTTAATATTTAGTAAATTTTTAGTCAACTTAATACGTGTAAATCGGCCATTAGTGCGTTGCGAGTGAACGTTCACATTTCTTCCAGTAGAGTATCATTACAGCGCCACAATGAACGCACAACGACGTCGGCAAATACGCTTTATTCTACGCAAAATACTAACTGTAGTTATGGAACAAATAGAAGACGAGATTTTATTCGAAATAAATAAACTAAATATAAATAATAAATAAAATAGCTTCTTTTAAGGCAGTGTATGCCGAATGCCTAGCCTGTTTGTTTTTGTATAAATTGTTTTTAACGTTCCACAAACATTCGTAAACAACATATTCAGACACAAATTAGATAGTTGTATCTTCCAACCATTTAGCCATCTTTAAAAATCAAAATCACGCACACGTTTCACGGCACTTGTGCACTCTCCTAAAGATTTTACTAAATTACGTGTTTACACACGAGGGAAGATCTCGGGGGTTGGTGGGCGCGGGAGGGGTATCACTTGAAACAAAAATAAAAAGCGATTCTATTTTGATTCAACTTGAAAGTCAAGTAGAACCGTACTAAAGCAAGTAGCGTTTACATGTTTCAACTAAAGTACTATCATAAGCACTCTGCTAAACACTAAGATAATGTAAATCGGCCCTAATGAATTATTGATTATTTCATAGTTCATATTTTGCTTCCTATTTGCTTCTTCCTAGGTTTTCAAACCTCGATGCTGTATCTATCATGGAATTGAGATATATAACAATGTTATTACAATTCCCCCCAGCGCCTATTAAAAATATACAGGCAAAAATATTTTGATAAAAATTAGTTTATTTATATAAATTATGGTAGGTAGGTAGTAACAAAACGCCTAACTATACGTAATTAATTAAAGTAATTTATAAACTACATTTTAACGTTCTACACGACTAGTGACCGTCCATTCTGAAGCTCACGACTTTTTTCGTAATTTATAAGATACCTCCCGTAGTATAGCTTTTCCTTGTGTACATTAAGTACAATAATCAAATTTCACAACATATTTAGGTTACTTTCCAATGAAATATAAGTCGTAAAATTGTATTTTTTAAAGACTATATGATAATTATGAAGTTATGTGTTGAGGGCATAAATAAAACAAATGAGTAAAATGATGTAATTTAATCACCAGTTGGAACAATTAAAAATATTGATCAATATCGAAAACTTGTACGACAATATTAAACTTTCATTTACAAAAAGCCAACATAAACTCAATCACACTGGTTACAAAGATAAAAAAATTAACTTAGAAATTAAATCAAAGTTCAGCCTTATCAAACAAAAGATCTTACTTTTGTGTCAACTTTAGAGTGAGCACCGGTCCGAGAGGGGGCGTCACCAGTAGATTATAGTCCGCTATAAACATGATGAGCGCCCTCCCATGCGCTGGGAATGTTATGCTATCAACATATTTATCAACATATACAAAACCTAAAGCATGCAACTGATTAAGAACGTTAAACAGGGTGGTGAGTTAGAATGGGGTTTGGTTTAGTTCTCCTCGATCTCCTGCTCTTGTTCCTCGTCGAACTCGGCGTCCTCGTCGGCGGTGGCTTCCTGGTACTGTTGGTACTCTGAGACCAAGTCATTCATGTTGCTCTCGGCCTCGGTGAACTCCATCTCGTCCATACCCTCGCCAGTGTACCAATGCAAGAAAGCCTTACGTCTGAACATAGCGGTGAACTGCTCCGAGATACGCTTGAACAGCTCTTGAATGGCGGTAGAGTTACCGATGAAGGTGGCGGCCATCTTGAGACCACGTGGTGGGATGTCACAGACGGCAGTCTTCACGTTGTTGGGGATCCATTCTACGAAGTAGGACGAGTTCTTGTTCTGAATGTTAAGCATTTGCTCGTCAACCTCCTTCATGGACATGCGACCACGGAAGATGGCGGCGACCGTGAGGTAGCGGCCATGTCGCGGGTCGCAGGCGGCCATCATGTTCTTGGCATCGAACATCTGTTGGGTCAGCTCGGGTACGGTGAGGGCTCTGTATTGCTGGCTGCCGCGTGACGTGAGTGGTGCAAAGCCGGGCATGAAGAAGTGGAGACGAGGGAAGGGAACCATGTTCACAGCCAGCTTGCGGAGATCCGCATTCAGCTGACCTGGGAACCGCAAGCAAGTGGTAACACCGGACATTGTGAGCGACACGAGGTGGTTGAGGTCGCCGTACGTGGGTGTTGAAAGTTTAAGCGTGCGGAAGCAGATGTCATAGAGAGCTTCGTTGTCAATACAGTAGGTCTCATCTGTGTTTTCTACAAGTTGGTGGACTGATAATGTGGCATTGTAAGGTTCTACTACTGTATCTGATACTTTAGGTGATGGTACTACTGAGTATGTGTTCATGATTCTGTCAGGGTATTCTTCTCTGATTTTGGAGATAAGTAGGGTACCCATGCCAGAGCCGGTACCACCACCAAGGGAGTGTGTGAGTTGGAAACCTTGGAGACAATCACAAGATTCTGCTTCTTTTCGTACTACATCTAAAACTGAATCTACGAGCTCCGCGCCCTCTGTGTAATGTCCCTTTGCCCAGTTGTTTCCTGCACCAGACTGTCCAAAAACAAAGTTGTCAGGTCTAAAGATTTGTCCAAAAGGTCCAGAACGGACTGAGTCCATGGTGCCAGGCTCGAGGTCGACAAGGATGGCGCGGGGCACATACTTGCCCCCAGAAGCTTCGTTGTAATAGACATTGATGCGTTCTAGTTGCAAGTCGGAGTCTCCGTGGTAGGCACCAGTGGGGTCGATGCCGTGTTCATCAGAGATGATCTCCCAGAACTGTAACAGAGAAATAAAATAAGATTAATTAACTTACTAAAGAATTATTACGAAGGGGCGGCGTGATGAGGCACTGTGACTCACAGTCGCCAAGGGGACCCCGCTTGCTAAACAAATGCTTTGTGTGGCTATCTTAAGAGGTTGGCCATTTAAATATTTCATGTGCTTTTCTTTTTGTTTAACATTTATTAGTAATATATTTATAGTAACATATTTATAGGTACATATTTATTAATAATAGTATAAAAGATTGGTAAGCCTAAACTTTATAACAAGGCAACATGACTATCTCAAAATGGTTCTTGCTTTGAATGCCAATGAAATGTTGCCATTTAAGTTAAGCTACCTAAAGAGACAAGTTGATTGGCTTTGCCATAAAAGCATTGGTTACTCATTCATTATTAATACCAACATCGCTTATTACTTCTTAGAAACTTGATTCAACCATTTAATCATGATTTAAAGATTAAAGTAATAAATGTATCAGAATATAGATGATATTGATAACTGATTATTATCTTATACATATTTAATTATTTAAAAGCAGTTCTCACTACTTACATTATAATGTTTATATTTAACACTTTCAAATATTGTTTTGTAAAAAGAATATTACATATGTATTATTATTTACTTTGATATAAAGACATAATCATCCAAAACATTTATTATTTTTTTACAATTAAATAATATAACTGACCACAATAGAATAGTCAATTTAATTAACTACTGGCTCAAATGGAAAACCTTAATGATGAATTGACGTACGTCGGACGCAACTCAATCGTGAGCAGATTTAATAATAATTTTGAATTTTTGATTTTGATTCAATCAAAGTACTGCATACCAGTTCAAAAAAAATATTCAAACATTGGTACCAGATATTAATTCCAGTCTGACAGCTAAAAAATTAATTTCATTCTATTGATAATTGAAATAAATCCCTTAATTATGATGGTATGATTTCCACTTTTTTCCTTTAAGACATGGACACTTATGATTTACATGACAAATTAATTAGGCACCTATAAACATAATGGGATAGCCTATTATTTTTCTTGTGCAAGGAATATTTTATTAAAACTAAACTACAACTTTTTTTGTTTAGTTTATCATGGATACAAATGATGAAATGATAGAACTTATACCATATGCCTTTGTTTTATGTTGTAATCTGCTGACAGTCGTCTAAAAATACAAATTTCGTAAGACCCGGAACTTTTGGAGCTTCACTGCCAGTGAAAGATGAAAAGCTTTCATAAACACCTACTTTAGAGTTATTTTTAACTATATAGGGTGAACGAACGAGCATGCGCATACTTCCGGGACACTCTTCTTAAATCGATTTTTGCCGATGATTCCACTAGTTTTGGAGGAAAGGAATGCCCAACAAATCTTGTAGTTTTATAGAGAATTGAAAATTAAGAACGTAGGTAAACAACACATAAAATTGAATTAAAAACAACATTACTTTATTAACCATCAGCTAAATAATAATCCTAGGCCTCCATTAATGCGATGAAGCCCCTTTTTTTTTAATATTCTATTCGATCACAAGCCTTAAAGCAGTACAAAGACGCTTAAAATTTTTAATCGTCTAACTTGGGTTGTGATTCGTCGCCCTTTATCAGGACGCTAACCTTGGGTCGTAACGGCTGTCATATTATTATTCAACGGTTTTTATAACGGCTAGACTAACAGCTGCAGAGTGGTTAATAAGTACCTTATATTATGCAAATGCAATTTCTGTCAAAAGAACTGGTAGATGCATTATATAGATTAATGTATATTATGATATTGAAGTGTATATTTCAATATTATTGCTTAGGTATGTAGGATCCAGGGGATATATAAATCTTTGGCTACGAAACCGACAAATGGCAATATAACACGTGGTTGCGACCTGAATTAAAATCAATAGAAACTAGGTGTGGTGTAAGTTACACCACACCTAGTTACACCGTGTAAGTAGTGTCAAAAAAGTCATGACGAGTATTCATGCTACTAACTATATAACTAAAACATGAATCTTACACAAAATATTAATTAAATTCAGATTTCTAATTAAACGCAAATATGAAATAACTATCAGCTTCCAAAATCAAAAGATATAGAACCATGGCGTCACAAAATGCCGGCCGCATCCTCAGACATTCCATATTCAAAATTTAGAAAGAAAGCTTACCTTAGCACCGATTTGGTTACCGCACTGACCAGCTTGAATATGCACGATTTCCCTCATACTTATGAAATTTGTGAACTATCAGTTACTTATAACACTAAAAATCTGCTCCGCGCGCACCACGTACTTTGGTGTGTGCTTGAAGAATAATGTTGAATGTTCCGTTTCGTGCGAGCCACGAAAGCAGCCTATAGAATAGTGCTGTCCGCTGCGCACTTAAATATCGATAAGATTTGTCGCAATGCGTCATCTTCCCTGTGTTACTTCTGATTTAAATAAGCTGAATATTACTGTAAAATTCATGGAATTTAGGTATTAATTATGTTATTATAATGTGTAGTACTCGCGTAAACCAAAAACGATATCGAGTCATATTACATTTTCACTTAATAAAATATATGATATGACAATAGTTTAAAATAAATAATTTTTCCAATATTGACTTGGTTTTAAATAGAATATATATGTTTTAAACTAAAACTTTAATTTTACAAGAGAAATAAGCATCCGGCATACATGTCACATACTACCTTTAATGATTTAATACTTCACTTATAATCTTTATTATAATAATAGAGTATAACATATATTTTATGTTTTTATATAAATTACTAAATTTAACTATAAGATCTACATACTCATATTTAAAAGTAATTTTTTTTAAATATAAAAAGCTATGAAACATACTTTAATATAATATACAGAATGGGAGTTATTATCACAACTCGAAGGGCAATAATCCTGGTACACAATAAGTTTTGCCCTAATTGAACATTGTTCAAGAAACAAGTGAGGTGTTCAAAATATATATTGTTATCGATATCGATACTTAACTATCCCACGTCTATACATTGACCGATTTCCGCCTGCGTCGCAGCAAACAGTTGTACCAACATACCAAAAAAGATCGATTTACTTCTCTTATCTCCATTTTACCAAATACCACAGCCCATATTTAAAACATTTTACATATTAATTTAACTATTAGGCTAAGGGTAATCAAATACTAACTGAAAACTTAGAGAGCTATTAATATATTGATATTATTGGAAGATTTTGTTCGCAGGTGTGTTGTTGCGTTAAGTTGGCACACCATGCCGGTCGCCGGCCGGCCGGCAGACACACCCCCTTACCTCGCACCCCTCCGTATCCATTCGCAAATCGCTATATTTTTCATCTATGGAGTTATTCAAATTCAAATAGCAACCTTGAGTCTATGTTGTAAAAACTTTGAGACTCCCGATTATTTACCTATGATATCTATCTTTTAATAAGTTTTTAATACTTTCGAACATTGTTGTTGTCTATTGGTACATATTAGCAAAAACAAGTAGGTACCTATCTAAAAGTACTTTCATTGTCTTATATATTGTAACAGCAGTTAGGTTGTTACTTCTTTACTGCTTTATGGGACGATAGTAGTAGGACTAGTGGGAAACAAGAGGCAAAGGCACTTCCAATGGCTTATTAAACAGTTTTTGCTCTTTTAATACTGCACTCTGCGTGTATGTACCTACCCATAAAAAGTTAAGCGATGGTCATTGTATTTCGTACCATCCCAAATTTCGTTGTAAATCGTAACGGGAGTTGCAAAATTTAAAATCAATTACGTATAAGGCTATCTCATGTTCTTCGCGACCATCTGGTCGATTTCACCGCAACTCCAATGACGCCATCTTGTTTTCATTTGTCTGGTGACAGAAACATTTCACGCGCATTACATTGACGCTAACAAAAACAGTAACATTATTGATTATTATAGTTTTAAGAATATTATTCGAGTATAGTTAAGATTTGTTATTGGCTCGATTAAAAAAGTATTATAACCTATAAGTATTTCTATACTTGTGGTAACGCGTAACTGAATTTTAGTCAATAATAATTATAACTTGGTTTTAAAAAGGTATTAAATTCAAATTTTACTGAATTAACAGCTTTTTTAATTAAAAACAAAAAAATAATTATTTTTATTTAATTTAATTTTACTTATAATTCGTTTTATTTTTTTTATAAATGATTTAGGAATCTGATGAGAGTTGATATAATAATTTCATTTTAGAGATTTGATATAACGATAATTTATTTATGTATACTAACATAAATTATATTATTTATACTATTATACATTCACACTAATACTGTCTTATTACTGCGTCAATTATAATAATTTTAATTACATAATTGAATAATTTAATAATCCTTTTTATCCAGTTATCATAACAATTTATTCTGGCCCCGTGTTATTATTTATATGTCCCGATAGTTTATTATATATTTTTACACAAGTGACAAGATTGTTAAGAAGCAATGTACGCGTACAAAACAAAACGTCGCGTACTGTATGTTGGTGTTTATACAAATTATAATAAACATGATTTCGCAAATCGATGACTAAGTGAACTTTCTCAAAACATCAATCATTTTGCTTAACAACAAAAATGTATTATAATAATCAGCTATGAATTATTAATCTACTCGGCTCCCTGGGAAGAATAACAGCTTACAAAGTAACTTGTGGCCATAGACAACGAATTTGTATGGAAATGGTCACGTGACAAGTTTATATCAAACAAACGTAATAATAAACTTTAACATAAAGATAATGTGTTTGTTACCTTGGTTACGATTTATATTCTAATCTCAAAAATGGTAGCCATGGTGGTAACAAACGCTATACTATTGATCATTTTCAAACTCGTATATTATTCATAGTCATTACAGGATGGTAAGATCGAACCATTCTGTAATGAGTCATTACTTTTTCTCGTCTGTTTATTATTTACAACATAAAGCATTGTTTGTCCAATTTATGACACAAATTCTAATCGAAATTGAAATTTTTGTTTTCCATTTTGTCTGTATCTTTTTCGTATTCTATGAACTGACCTCTATGGTTGTAGTATTAATTAAAATCGAGTCTATTATTGTTTAATTAAAGTATAAAGAGTTATCTGGCCATTATAAATTAACCTTCATAGGTGCAGTTGCATTGATAATCTTATCTTGGTTTTATGATAATGTATATTAAACATACATTTTTTAATTTTCCGCATAATCAAATTCTCGGCGATTCGCACTGACTATAATGTTACATCATTGTTTTATTCCATTTTATTTATGCCCTTAAATAAATCAGTGGCGTAACAACCTTTTTAGGTTTGGGCCTCAGATTTATGTCTCTTTTTCATGATCATTTGTCAATCTAGGCAAGTAGGTGATCAGCCTCCTGTACACACGCCATCATCTTTTTGGGTCTAAAGCATGTTGGTTTCCTTCACCGTTCGAGTGAATGTTAATTGTGCACATAGAAAGAAAGTCCATTGGTACACAGCCGGGGATCGAACCTACGACCTCGGGGATGATAGTCGCACGCTGAAGCCCCTAGGCCAACACTGCTCCTCAATACCTTATATCGAAATTTTATTTTTTAGCCAAGAATGGAGCTCAGGATGGTTGTGTATTGTGTGTGTGTTTTTCACGGCAGTCTTATCCAATCGTTTTTTTAATTACAAACAAAAAGTGTGTCATTTTTAAATTACCTAATATTGTTTACTATAACCAAAACGTGTTATGACATAAGTGTTAACTTTTAGGTATGACATCAGTATTATCGCGACCAATTTACATTGACCCCTCACACCGCTTAGTGTATACATAAAATGAAATTATTAAATCTGATTGTTTGTTGAATACGGATAAAAAAAATTGCCGTACAAAAGTACAAACAATTAGAAAGAAAAGCTAAAGTAGAAAGATTCCTTTTTAAACTTGATTTTTAAATGTTTTATTTACTTCAAAGGAACACAATTCAACGCGTTTATTTTGAGTATGTTTTGGTTAATCATGAGAACGCATCGCATGTACACAAAATGATCACTCTAATAAAATGATGGTAGCATTTTTGGAATATTCAACAAACAAAGCTACTGACGCCGGCTAGCTAGATAAGTGCCAATTTGTGTTTAATGACATGAAATAGAGGCCTTTGTATAATGGTTAGTGCACTTCTATTTATACGCAAGGTGAATGATGTCAATACTGTGCTGGTTTAATTAAATTACAATTAATCTAACTGGTTCTATGACCTAGGATTGTACAGCCACGACTAAAGAATAATACATTAACGAATTTCTTTATTCGGCCAAATATTTGTTCGACGGGACGCTTTAAAGGCACATTTTAAAAAGATGTTTGGTGCATTATGTTAATGTAATTTAGAAACTTGTAAGTTGTAAGTAGAACGTTCCAGAATTAATCTACCTATAATATTACGGACTAAATTAAAAAAATTCCATTGTATTTGGAGATACAGCTTTAACAATGTAATGACTATATTACTTACTAATAAGGAAGGTTATTTCATTACGATCTATGAGAAATTTTGTTTAATGATATATTATTGAACTTCACCACATAATGCATTTTCTACAGTATGTTACAAATCAAATTCATTTATTCGTATAGGTAACAATAATGTATTACTTATGAAAATACATATTAAATGCTTCTAATTTTACATTTACTGCATTTCTCAAATCAAGGGCGGAACGGGGGGGGGGGACGGGCAAAAACCCCCCCCCCAATCGCCAATTTTCAATTTTACACAATGTTTGTAAGGAGCTGCAACTATTACACAAACTACCTATCTATTCTAAAATACATGACAATTATGGTGAACATAAATTTTACAAATAAAAGTATCAGTGCTAATTTTAGTTTTTACTAGTGATTTTTTGCTTAACAATGCGGATTACCTAGGTAACAGATAGACGCTAAAATTAATCAGCCCCCTACCGAATATATCAAGCTCTGGATAAGTAGTGTTTATTTTGTTATATTCGCAGAGTTCGAATTATACTACCATCTACAAAAATGCTTTAAAGGGAAATATATAAACCTGTTTTCATCCAAAAATCCAAGTTGCAAGCGAAGAGATAGAAGCTATAAGTTGGGCGTTGTCCAATACATTTTGCCCGTATGTCTACTTTTGTTTATATAAATAAATAAGTTTAGTAGTCTGTGTCTAACACATTACAAGCAGAAACTTAATGTACTAGTAT